GCGAGTTAACAAAGACTCACTATGGATCCCTAGATCAAACTCTCATTGTGTTTCTAGTAAAATCCTAGCTTAATCAGGATGTGTTCAAGACTATCAAAGTTATTCAAATATATCTAAACAACCTAATAATCCCAAATTCAAGTTTCTAGTTAGCAAGTCTAGAACATGAGCATTAAGAACATCCTATTAATGAATACCACAACAAACAATCTTATAGTTGGAGCTAATCCCTCTAACTTATTTAAATCCTAATTCTAACAAGTGAATTACTCAGACATGACTTAAGTAATTCATAACAGAAACAAAAAAAAATAAAACTACATAGTATAGATAGATATATATATATATATATATATATATATATATATATATATATATATATATATAGAAAACATTGGAGTTCCAATCACAAATCTCTCTGATGATATTATCTCTCAAACTATAAATCCTACAACATTTTTCTGTGAAAAAAAATACAAAAAGAAGCTCTCTCTGCCTCTAACACTTTGGAAGATTATATAAACTTAGGTTAAAACTCGTCAGGGGTAAAATCATCATTTGGTAATGTTTGGGCTTCAAGTTGGTTTGTCTCGCGAATTGGCTATGCGCCTACGGCATCGATCGATCATGAAAGATGCATGCAATCGATGTGAGTCACTCCATGTCGACCTCGATCGTCTTAGTCGATTCCAAATCGAGTGATTCCTCCAATTCTCTCTAAAATGCTCCAAAAACATCACTTTCTTCCAAAATACTCCTGAACCTATAAATATGCTTAAAAGCTTCTATAATATAATAAATAGTAGTAAAAACACCAGTATACCCTGACTAAAAGCGGTCAAAATCATGGTATATCAAACTCCCTCAGACTTACCCTTTTACTTGTCCTCAAGCAAAACAAACAGGCAGTCTCTTTGAAAGAGGTTTGAAAAGAATAGGCACTCTCATATTTAAAACTTTGAAATTATAACCTCTATAATATTGCAATCCAAATCTAAGAAACCACAGAAGTTCTTATGCCATATCCTAGCTTAGCAACTAAATCCATCTAGCCAACAACTTAGCAAATACTATATGACATTCCCCTCAACTAACGTCATTTCTTAACATAAAATAAAAGTGCAGGCTTTACCCTGAGAGTATCGATCACATGATGCAAGGAATCTCAAACAAGTATTTGGATCTGCATGTAAAAGTTAGTTCCTCTCTTCTAAGTTCTCTCTTGAGTCAAAATATGCTTCTAAGGCATGATTATTGACCAAGATTGGACATGCATCCATGAAAAAAGCCTTGATAGTGTTTGCCACCAAGTCCTGATCACTTCTTTTTGACTTATATCCAAGAATTCATATGAAGTGGGCCTTAATGGTTGTAGCCACCAAGTCCCATTCAAATTCCTTTACTGGAATCATTATGAGCAAGCCTTAATGGTTGTAGCCACTAAGTCCTGTTTTGATTCCTCCTAACTAAAAACTTAATAAATTTGTACTATTTTCGTTTTTTTTAACTATAAATCTACTTAACTATCTAGGGTCGAAAATAGAGAGAGAAAAGATGATAAATCTACACAAGGCTTTACCTTCCAGACTTGTTTGAAGAATCCGATCTCATGTATACCAAGCCCCAAGACAAGCAGTTGTGTCAGGTTTAGTGTTGGAGATCAGCTTTGGTTACTTCAAACAATCTAAGCAAGTGTGAATAGCTGATTGGTTGATCCACTTAGCATTTTTAGTACTATATGTAATCATAAAATCTAGAATGGTGCGAAAAAATGGTTAGATAACAAGTATAAATCAAATATGCTCACTATCCCTTTTATTGAGTTTAGTAAAAATAGTTTTGAAAACATATTTTTATAAGACTCATAGCAAATGAAATATCAGTAAACCTCCCCCCCCCCAGACTTATATTACACTGTCCTAGTGTAAAAAAATCGGATTTATGGCGAAAGAAAAGAAATTATAAGTACTTAATGTAACAAGAAAGAAAGATGAACACGACCAGACTGAATAATCGATCGATGTGTATGAGATTACATTGATCATTGCAGATAATCTTTGGTCGATCGATATTGACTATCCTTCGTCAGTCGATGAGATGCTCATCTATTTCTCCTTGGATCTTTTTTTTTTGAAAACCTGAAAAATAAAAAAGAATCAATAAAGTAAAAGAAAACCAAAAGAAAAAATACCTAATAGTGGGTTGCCTCCCATTCAACTCTTTGTTATAGTTATTTAGCTTGACTTTTGAAGTTGGGTGAGCTATTGTGTGGAAAAGGAGCTACTTGTTGGAAAACAAGTATCCACAACTTCTCTGTTGATGTTGAACCAATTAGCCATGAAACTTCTTGTGGCTTCATCACTTCTGGCCCCTTTTTCATCCATCTTTATAACGGTTTCTGCAATGTGTTGAAGTTTCTCCTGCAGACTCTCAATATTGATGTTGTTCCATTGAACCTTATCATAAACATGTTATGTCGGTGCTCCCAAAGTCTTGTTGGTTGGTGATGATCTAACTAACTCTTTCTGTAACATCTTGGCTTGTCCTTGTACGGACTCGGCATCGATCGCTGCAACGATTGCAGTGTCGATTGATCCATGTCGAATATCATTGATCGATTTGACCTTATCCTTGTCGATCGATGCTGCAGTTTCAGGTCGATAGGCGAGTCTTTTCTGAATTTTCCTGACTTCCTTATGAAACCAATCTGTTCCTGAATGTAGTCCACAGATGCTGTTGTTGAAAGGGAAGAATATGTCATCACATCTCTTGTCGAGCCTATCCTCGGTGGTGTTCAGAGCTTTGTAGTACCTATCAATGATCTGGTCAACTTCTGCTCTAGTATAGAATTTCTGCTCTGGTAACTTCTTAACATCGATCGATTTGCCTCTGATTTTGTCGATCGATGATGAGGATGGTCGGTGCAAATCGAGTTGCATCTGAATGGTGGTGACCTTATGTTGCAAAGCAGTCATCCGGCTATCCAAGGTGTGTAAGCATCACATGAATGGCGATGTGTAGTGATCATGCTCATCTTCGCAGATCTTCATCCTTTTCTCGATATCCAAAAGCTTAGAGTCGATCAATTTTATTGCATCTGTATCGATCGATTTTCTATTCTCATGCTTCTCCTCATGGATTGTATCTAAATCCTGCTGTAACAACTCAATCCTCATGCTTAACCAGTTGATGTTGTTAGTAAGGAGGTGATGTATCACGCCAATCCTTGCATTGAGATATACCTCGTCCCATTTCTGTCCTGTCGACAGCTCCTCCTTTTCTGGTTCGTCATTTGCGTCGATCGATGCGTCCTTAGTGGCATCAATCGATGGCACAAGCTGTGTCTTCAGACTAGCTAGTTCTGCCTCCATCTCTTTCATTCGCGTGGTCAATCTAGTAATGCTTCCTTGCAAAATCACATAGGCGGTATCCAGATTGTTGGTGAGCTTATCTACTGCTCCTTTCTGCCAAACATTCATGCAATCAATCATTTCATTGATTTCATCTTTGGTGTCTTTTGAACTAACATATCAGTGGATATAGATCTAAAAAATCAATCACGATATAATAAGGGGAAGCATGAGCAAGAATCCCATAAATCCAGATCAAAGTGAGAAACTTTTACGAAGATAAACATAGTGGAAAGGTCACCGATATCTTTTTATGCAATAGAAGTGCGGTGGCGCCGGTGAAGAAGATGAGTTGATTTGTGACTCGACTCACTGAAATTTTAGAAACTGAAATTTAGATGGATGAACAAGGAAAAATGAAGATGGAGACTCTAGGATTTTGATTGGAGATTTCGCAATAAAAAGAGTTGAGAGGAGATAACAAAATAGGAGAGAAATTTTTGGAGAGGGAGTTGATTTATTCTCCGATGTCGTTTAGGGTTAGATGGATCAGATTTTAGGATTGGTTTCGGGTGGATCGGATCTTTGAGGTTGGATCTTGTAAATATCTAATTTATGTTGGGGCAATTAGTCTTTAACCACTTTTTCTGTTTTAAAAAAAAAAAACAAATTATATTATAATAAAAGGATATACAGGAATTTTTATGAGGGATATAGGATATATGGAGTTAATCTCCTCTTTTTATCCGCTAAACATGATTAAAATCAGCTTACACTTGTAACGATGCTGCAGAATGGAAATAGACAATTGACTAAGGCTTTTGTATCAAAGGTTCAAATTCCTGTAAATCAAGCCAATGCAAGATAGTATTCAGAAGAAAAAAAGAAAGAAAAAAAGAAAGAAAAAAAGATAGTATTCAGGGCTGCTATATATTGCAGAGAGTTGGAACCACTAAGGCAATGTGATTGCATTCTTACCTTTACAACATATTGTAACGACCCAAAACCTACGGGCCCATTTTCTCTAGTAATTAAAATTCTTAAGTATTTTACTTTGTCCCATATTGGAAGTTTAGGAAATTAACCTCCCTTCCCTTCCCCTATATAATAAACTCCCTCCTTCTCATTTATTCTCATCAAGTCAAAGTATTTCTTTGCGTGTGACAAGTTGTTGAATTATTCGACGACCAGTCACTAAGTAATTTTCTGGCGAGAGTTTTGGTCAGGTCCCCGGGCGAGTTTTGGGCGATAGTTCCGTTGACGTCAGTTGACCATCTTCCTTTGATCATTCCTGCCAGTGGATAAGGTGAGGGATATTCCGCTTAAAACCCGAGCTAGTTTAGTACTACTATTACGAAAAGTTTAGTTTCGAAACATGTTCCGTCTCTTTGAATCGAGTCTATTTGAGAGTCTTGTTTGTTTATTTATTGTTATTGATTGCTAAACCGGACATAGGATAATAGAGGATTCAACGGTTGTGTGACATGATTGATGTTGAGAATTGCTATATATATATATATATATGAGTCCATGTGTGAGAGATTGCGGGGGTGCAGAGACTTCTGTACTAGCGAAGCCTTGTTTGAGGAGATTGCGGGGGCACTTAAAATATTTAAAAAGGATTAAGAACCCCTTCATGAGTCTTAGGGATAATGATGCTCGAATAGCTATCAAAGTACAAAACATTATTGATTTTACAATAGGGTGAGTTAATCCAATACATTTTGACGCAAGCTCGCGCAAAAATTACACTGTGACTGTCCTATGAAAACAGAGAAACATAGCGTGAAACCAAACAACAAACATAAAACGAATCAAAGACCAAATGCGTCAACACAAGAATCTCATCAATGACGGAACCGATAAAACACAAATCATTTAATCCATAATATTAGGATCCAGACCTCTTGCCTTCCTTGTCTTGCCCACAAACAGATCCTTAGATTTGAGCAAACCAGGCACGCAACCCGACACTGTCATGAAAGGGAACTGAGCCACTGAGTCCTTTCTTCCCAAAGATATAATGGCAATATCGGAACCGGGCTTGTAGGTCGACAGCTTCTTCTCGTTCCCACCAGACATCAACAGCTTTATGTTCTTTGTAGCCACAGAGGCATGTTTCTCAGCAATGTATCCTTGTTTCATCTCAGGGATGTCAGTGATATCTCCAATTGCGAATACATTTTTGCGACCCTTCACCCTTAAGTACTCATCAACAATCAGCCTTCCTTTACCATCCAGATTATCCTTCAGAACAGTTCCTTTTAGCCATTCCGAAGACAAAGGCTTCCCGATGCAGAGGAAATAGCAATCCGCGTGTACCGTTTCTCCTCCTGATGTTCGGTAATTTTTATCTCCGTCTGATGCTGAGCTTAGGTCCACCCTTTGATTTAATATCACTTCAACTTTCTTTGCTTTCAGCCAGTCAAATGCTTTGTCTGCAGCTTTTTGACCAACAAATTCCAATAACCTTGGTCCATTGTGTACTAAAGTAACCTTCTTATCGGGGAAATCAACTGCAATCTCTGCAGCAAGCTCGACACCTGAGGGTCCTCCACCAACAATCAGAACTGACTCAGACGAGTTGATCTTCTCATATTCTGCATAACCAAATAGTTCAGGTCAGATTGAGAATAGTAGTCAATTCATAGGATCCGTTACTCACATACAAGAAGAGTAGTCTACTTGAGCATATGCAAAACAAATGAAAAAGGAAGAAGATTCATACCGGCTTGGTATTGTGATAGCTTCTCTTGTCTGGTTTTGGGAAGCACATCGTTGTGACCTGTAGCAATCACAAGATAATCATATCCAAACACAAGTCCATCTGCTGTGACTACTTGGGTGTTGGTGATATTGACAGCTGGAGAAGTCACAACACGGCCGTTTTGTAGGTACTTCTTGTGGTTTATCAACGTTCTTTCAGCAAAAGAAGGCTCCACCATGGACCTTAGACTTGCCCAGGTGATCTCAAAGTACTCCTTCCTGATATCAATCAAATCTCAGATCATATTGCAACAACAATAAACAAGACATCTTTTAACCAATTAAGAAACATAAACACTTTCTTCTAATTGTTCTTGTAAGCAATCTTGCAATGTTGACAAATTGCATTTTTTAAAAAAAAAGAAGATATAACTTACGGATCGATAAGTGTGATGTCGGAATCAAACTGAAGGGATTTAGAGGCCAACGAGCCGGCTATTCCGCCGCCGATCACCACCACCCTCCGCCCACTTTCTGATTCAGATTCTGTTCTTTCCATTTTATCGATTCAGGTTCCAGATGTTATTTGATAGCTTTCTTAATCCATATTTATATAACGATGTTGAGGCTAGTCATCTAGGGTTAAGGCTGTTGTCGACTTGTCGTCTATGGAATAAAATAGACTATAGTTAACGTGTTGACTCACGTCATATATGACGTCGGCTCCGGAAGGATTCCGCCGTGTTTCTCCTTTTAGTCTTTTATATTCGTTTTTGTTTCTCTTTGGTCTTGAAAAAGAGTCATCAAATTCTCTTTCTCTTCTCGGCCTTTAATTTAACCCATGAGGTAAAGCTTAACCCAGACAAAATGATCTTAGGCCATGCGCAGTAGAGGTTTGTGAGAGAAGGTATCCTTCCGCCGTGTTTCTCCTTTTAGTCTTTTATATTCGTTTTTGTTTCTCTTTGGTCTTGAAATAGAGTCATCAAATTCTCTTTCTCTTCTCGGCCTTTAATTGAACCCATGAGGTAAGAGCACCCTATCACTGAACCGATGGGGGAGGAGTTCAAACAAAAAAAAATATTTTTTTTTTTTTTCGTTTACTTTTCAAAAAAAAAAAATTAAAAACTGATTAATTGTGGGCTACCACGTGGCGTGGGACCCACGAAATTCCTATGATACCGGTTCGTCGGGATGAATCTATGAGGAATGGGTTCACAGCATATATTATATTTTAATTGATTTTTCTAGGTTTTTGAACCCATGAACCCCTTTACATACCCCAATGGGCATGCTCTAAAGCTTAGCCCACAGACAAAATGATCTTAGGCCATGCGCATTAGAGGTTTGTGAGAGAAGGTCTCACGTATTCCAAAAAGAAAAAAATATTAAATAATTGCAAATAGTGAACTCGGCTCGCATAAGGTCTCTAATATGAACTTGTATCATAACTGTTTCGGATCCCACGACACGTGATGGTGCGCGATTGATTCCATTACTAAAACTTTTTTTTTAAATAAAACGGAAAACAAAATAATGAAATAATCAAAAATATTACTTATGAATTCCATCTCCTCCGGTTCACTGATGCAGATGGCCTAAAACTAAATAATCAGGTACGCTGATTTTTGGGAGACTAACTCCATATACCCATAGCCCCTGCGAAATTTTCTATTCTCACTTTGTTTTCTTTTTGATCTTTCTTAAATGAAAAAATGGTCCAAAAGTGGTTAAAAACAAAAGGATCCTAATGAAATTCACCTAATTACCTAATCTGACCATTGTAATTCGGATCCACTAGGATCCAACCCGGTTCGTAAATCTAAACGTTTTCGTTTTCGTATTTCAATTTTACTTCTCATTTTTTTTCAAGTGTAGAACCCGACTCCTCTCTTTTGCGATAGAGACGACCACGAACCCTAAATCCTCGATTCTTCCCTTCTCTTCGTTTCTTCTTCTTTCTCTATGATAATTGAGCCTCCATCTCCGAATTGACATCCTTTATCTTTGTAAATGATTTATTCTGGTTGATTTCGTCGTAATTTGTTTTTTTTAGGCTAGATAAAAACTGGGAAAAATCGAGGAAACTTGTAAGTTGTACACGAAACTAAATTGTTGTCTTTAATAAGCTAGTTTTTGCTATGAAATAGGGGGAGACATGGTGAACTGTATATGAATCGGGTATGTTTGGTTTATAGGTTTTGGAGGATGAAAGTAAGTTTGGGTTTGAAATAAATGTAGTGAGGAGAATCGGTATAATGATTGATTATCGAATATTACCATTATTTAAAGTTAATGTTTCTGTGATTGGATGTTTGATATGTGAAAGCGAATTGGTGATTGAGTCTTTGGTTCGATGTCTGAGCATATGTAGATTAAAAAGGGATTGAGTGATAAGTTGTATTAAAACCAGAGTATAATTGGGGAAAACCCTTGATGTTGTGTTGTTGTTTTACGGTTTGAATTTTGAGTGATTGTGCTGTAATGTATTGTACAGGAAAGTAATGGCGAAAACGCAAAGGCAAGTTCCCAATGAAAGGCGTCGTCGATCTCTTAGACACAGAAAACAGGCCTCAAGTGCAAAAGAGGCGGTAGATAGTAAGAAGAGTAAGAAGAGTAAGAAGAGTAAAAAGAGTACACTAGTGAGAGAACCGAGTCCAATATTGGCGTCAGCCTCATCTGGGTCCGAAAGTGAAGACATGTCTGATCCATCGTCTGAGGTATATATTTTGTTGACTAGTACTTATTGTATTACTAGCATTACTAATATTTTAAATAAGTATTTTGAATGCAGGAAATGTAACCAGCACAACCCCTTGAGTTCTACTTCAAAAATAATGAGTTCACGAAGACTTGCAAGATATAAACCAAGTGCCATGTGAGCGCGACAGTAAAATTCGTCAAGGAGACGCTTAAGGATGATCAGGCTGAATGGTTCATAAGCCATCCTCAGTTTCGAAATTTTTTTCACATGCTAGAAGAACCAAACCTGAAGCTCCAAGGGATGTGGATGTTACTCATGCGCACCATTTGTACTTCAGAAGATGATGTAGCATGGTTTGCGGTTAATGGTGTACCCATCCGTTATTCTATAAGGGAGCATGCCCTCATCTGTAGCTTAGACTGCACTGAGTATCCAAGAAAATATAAGAATATCGGTGGTCTTGAGTATGTGAATTACCACTTCCGTGACATAAACAAGATCACCATCACTGATGTGAAGCAGAAGCTGTTGTCTATGCCAGAGTGTCCAAATAAATTGAAGATGGTTGCCTTGTTTTTCCTTGGTACAGTTATAAGAGGAAAGGCAAACTATGAGGGAACTTTAGACTCCTTCATATTAAGTATGAGGTTACTCATGCGCACCATTTGTACTACGAAAGATGATGTTTCATGGTTTGCGGTTAATGGTGTACCCATCCGTTATTCTATGAGGGAGCATGCCCTCATCTCTAGCTTAGACTGCACTCAGTATCCAAGAAAATATAAGAATATCGGTTATTTGTACTCCGGAAGATGATGTTGCATGGTTTGCGGTTAATGGTGTACCCATCCGTTATTCTATGAGGGAGCATGCCCTCATCTCTAGCTTAGACTGCACTCAGTATCCAAGAAAATATAAGAATATCGGTGGTCTTGAGTATGTGAATTACCACTTCTGTGACATAAACAAGATCACCGTCACTGATGATAAGCAGAAGCTGTTGTCTATGCCAGAGTGTCCAAATAAATTGAAGATGGTTGTCTTGTTTTTCTTTGGTACTGTTATGAGAGGAAAGGCAAAGTATGAGGGAACTTTAGACTCCTTCATATTAAGGATGGTGGATAATTTGGATGCTTGCAGAATATTTCCCTAGGGTCAGCTAACATTTGGCGATTCAATAAAAGAGCTTAAGCGCGTGATGATGCATCTGAAGGGAGAAGTGACAAAAGAGGCAGTTGTCTTTCCAGTTTCATAGTCCCTTTAGAGGTAAGCATATAATTTAGTAAAAGTTTTAGTTGTTAAAAAATTGAAAACATGACATGTTTGTGACACTGGATATACTAGGTTATGGTTTTTGAGTGTATTCTCGCTCTAGGGAAAGAGTTAGAATCTATCAAAAGAATCCTTGTATGGACTGTCCAAGGATTTGCAAGAGCCGGTTTACAAACTCCAGTCTAAAGGGCTATCCTTTGGAAGACATATACCGAGCGCTTGGAAACACAAAGGTACATGTTTACATTTATAGTAGAAGCTAGTAGAACATAAAATTTAACTGGTGTTATTTATTTTTTATTTTCAGGACATTAATAGTGTGCTGGTTCCAACTATTGGTGTGCAAATATTGTTGGCTCGTATTATTGACTTGAACGAGAGTATGACCGTCAGAGCAGCCCAAGCGATACTTGGAACTACTGGTTAACTGTGAAACAGAAGAGTATTTGGTGGGAAGCAGTGGCGGAGGTACGTAGGATGCAGGGGGGGGGGCAATTGCCCACCATGAAATTAATTAATGTAGTTTAGTTTTATAACAAATTGAAGTTATGCCCCTATTGTTATATTATTTTCTGCCCCTATACTTTAAATAATTGACATAACAGAAACAAAATTCTAATTAATATATAAAACAAAAGCCCAATTTGTTATTATTTTATATCTACAAACCCACATGTTAATGAATTGGGCTTTATTTAATTTACCAGATCTTATCCAATCTAAGATGAAAATTTAGTCATTAAAAATTAGGGATTTATGTGTTACAAAACACAATTCAAGAGCCACGTAGTCGTCGCCGTTGTCTACTCGTGTTCTCAACTTCTTCTTTCCCTCTGAATTTTTGTTTTTGCAGTCGAATCACAGTATACAAAGTCTCTTGTCCATGTAAATTTCTTTCCTATTTATTTAATTAGATTATATATGTGTTAAATGTTTGTTTAATTTTCCTTTCATTGCTTTTTGTTCCAAAATTGTCTGATATGGTTTTGGTTGGTTTGGTTAGTTGGTTTTAGACTCGAGTCACACACACACACAATTACTTAATTTACTTTAGACTCAAGCAAGAATATTTTATATGATTTTGAGTTCTACGTGGTTAAATTTATTGGTCAATATGATGAAGTTATGTTTAGTAAGATCTAAAGGAATTGACTTTATATTAATTTATTATTTCTAGTGATTTGTAGAAAAATGGAGCGATATTTTAACAAAACAGATGCTTCTGCTTCTAAAAGAAATTTGGATAGCTCTGATAATTTGGATGCTTTGCCATGGGATCCGGCTGAAAGAAAAAAGATATCGCAATATCCTTCTAACCAAAGAGAAGAAGTAAGAAGAAAATACTTAATTAGAGGTCCATGTCAACCATATGGTCATACTTTTCAGAAGAAAAAATTTGGAACAACAATGAGACGATTTAATCCGGTTTGGTTTGAGAAGTATGGTAATTGGCTAGAGTATAGCGTCTCAAGAGATAAAGCATTTTGTTTGAGTTGCTACTTGTTCAGAGATGACATACCAAAACAAGGTGGAAATAATGCTTTTGTGACAGAAGGTTTTTCTTGTTGGAAAAAACCTGAGGCGTTATCTGAACACGTAGGTGGAATCAATAGCTTTCATAATATTGCTGTTAAGAGATGTGATGATTTGATGAATCAAGGCCAGTCAATTGTGCATGCTTTTTATAAGCAAGACGATGTGGTGAAAAATGAATATCGCATCCGGTTAAATGCTTCAGTTGATGCTTCTAGGTACTTGTTAAGACAAGGATTACCTTTCCATGGTCATGATGAAGGAAAAGATTCTGCTAATAAAGGAAATTTTGTAGAGCTCTTGAAGTACACTGGAGAACAAAATGATGTTGTAAGTAAGGTTATTTTGGAGAACGCTCCAAAAAATAATCAGATGGTTTCTCAAGTGATTCA